GCAGAACCGCAGAACAAGGAAGAAGAATGAGTGTTTCTGGATTAGAATAATACAATGTTTAATCACAATTATTTAAAACATTTAATTATAGTTTTTCATCTAGTGGTGGATCAAGTTTATTATTAATTCTACAATTAACTAAAATGGTTTTTTTAATAACAGGGCGGAGCAACCCTTCGTCTCTCTCCTTGTCTGTTACCATGGACGCAACATCACAGAAGATTGGATAACTCCTTGGGTATTAAGGTTAGAGTAGGTCACGAGTTCAATTTTCTGTCGTAATTTTTTTTTCCGTTTTCTCTCATGCATTTTTTTTTTTCATAAAAAGGACTAAAGTCGAGCACAAATATTATTCATCCACCACCCACCATTCAATAAAAATATTAACTGACATCTAGGGACTTGGGTAAAAAGGAGGACCAAAAAAAACATAAAATACCACCCTCCTTGGTATTATTACTGAAGACTAGGTTGGCTTGATTGTGGTTTGTTCCACCAGCAAGCAGCTAGTGGGATAGGTTAGATTCAGAACTAGATTTTACCTTGTATTTTGTATTGAGACATTTTGTTTATTTATCGTTTTGGTTTGGTTTCTTTTAAAGAAATAAATAAATGGCACTCAAATTTCCATTACATCCTCTCAAGTGTCAAAACAGAGCCAAACTAAGAAGATGGAAGGATGGCATGATGCCATAGTTGACTACTCAGCTTCTTTGTAAAACTAAGATCCTTCTCCCACATGAAGATAGCAACCCGAAATAAAGCTGTCACTAAAGTACTTCATAATTCCTCTGGTTTGGTATCCTCTGTTTGAGACTTCTGATCTGTGCTTCGTTCCAAATATTCCTCTTCAATAGTTTCCTTGAGGATGAACAGCCTTTGTATAACCACAGGCTGAGTCATCTGCTTGGCTTCCCTAATGTCAGTTTCTTCCGCATTTAGATGGTATGCATCAAGCATGATCTTAATCCACTTGTGAAGCTCTTTGGGCGTACTGCTCAACCACAAAGTGGAAAATACAGGACATGTTACATTGCAAAAATATAACAGATATTGCTATTGCCCAAAAAAATATCTGAAGAAACAAGGGGCTCTCTTACGTGTATACGGCTTTGGGGTCCTTGGCTTCAGGTCCATCACCAGGGGAGAAGGCTGTTGCCAATGCCGAGAATCTCTCTTCAGGATCTGTAATGTTCAGCAAATGCTTGAGTAGTTTTATTTCTTTTGGGGCAATGCTCCTAAGACTGCTTTTTGTGGCTTTGTACAAATGATACATTATGTCTTTGACCTGCATTAAGACATCAAATCTTCAGAATACAAGGAAGGGCAAGCATTTGAGCACATGAAGGCAAACATAATATTGCAGTAAAGACTATATAATGGCCGAAGCTTGGGTTAAAGAAGCCAGAGTTGCTTGATGCCCTAGTAGCTTCAAGAGAACACCAATAGAAGAATAAAATTATTTTGTAGGAGTTGTGACAGGACAAACGCAAGCATGTATACATGTCTTTAACGCTATTATTTTCATTTCTTCAAGTGCTTCTATGAAAAAGGTAGCATCTCAAGTCATTCTAAATTCTAATAATACTTGATAGTTTTCAGAGAAAACATTCAGGAGTATCTTACTGTAGCTTCTATAATGACATACACATTAATACCTCAGAAATAATTGAATAAATCCATTGCTTGGTTTTTTCTTTAAGCATTTTCTAACCATTCTAAGAATAACTGCTAATTTATCCTTCCCATGTGCATCTGTGACACATTGATGGGTTATGAAAAATATCCTGTAATCCAACATAAGCTCATCAATACAAGGTTGTTGACCATACCTCATTCTTCATCGTTGTGGACTCCTTTGCAGAAGCCCAAGCACTGTTTATCAATAATACCAACGAAGAATCAAGCTCCTTTGCCTTGGCAAGGCTTTTAATCTTCTCACATGCTACGTCAACTGAAGGAGAATTTAGGATGTCATCAAATTTGGCCTGAGCAGTATCTAATGTCTCCACATATTCCAGCGTGTTATCATAAGCACTGACGGCAGACAAGCATCTAGCACCCAGCCGGGCCATTGCTGCTCAAAGTTGAGACAATCATATAAGATAGGTGAACAAGCTACAAAATTGATCTCTAGATGGAAAATGGAATCTGTCATTGTAAGTAATTAAAGTCCAAGACGTAAATTGTACATCATATTTTTCCACCCATAGTCACACAGGTCAGAGTTTTGCAACAATTTGTGAAACTTCTTAGTGTATTTGAAAAGTATAATGAAAACCAGAGACACTCTCACAAGTTCATGTAGGTCAAAATCAGGTCATCAGCAATTGTTTCACGAAAATAATCCAAATACAAACTTTGAGATGATTGAGCATGTTCAATTACCATCACGATCTTCCAAACTATCATAAACTTCTGAAAGTAGGTTAAGGTGGCGAAAGAATTCCTCTGTGAAGTCTTTACGCCTCCGTGCAACTAATGCATTAATGTCAGTTGGATTGTCTTGTATCTCCTTCAGAAGTTCACTGTGCCTTTCCATTTCATCATCAATCTGCAATGCTCACTCCTGATCAAACATAACCAAAAGGACCTCTAAACACAAACAAGCATATGTTTACAAGAATCTTTACCCTTTCTTTCAGATGTTTGGTAAATAGTAGAAAAAAGGGGAATTAAGTGTTTAATCTCATTAAGTTCCATTACTTGGGACCTGGAAAACTAAAACCACTGCTAAATCAAAAACAATACTTATCTAATTTGGGGTCTCCAAGGTAACAAAAGGCATAGCTTCAAAAAATTTGTTCTTCCTTTAGTTCCCTACTTATAACAGAAACAAAGAAATATCAATATAACTAAAAGAACACGATAGAGACATTTACATACCTTCTTCACCTTTCTCCCCAAAGAGGTAAACTTTTCTTTCATAGTTGGATCACCCTCCATATCTGCCCGTGTCCTACACCGGTTATAAAAGCTTTCCCTATATTTCTCCCAATCCTCCCTAAATACCAAAAGCTTCCTCCATTCCTTTGCCCTGGGCTTCTCATTCATGAAAACATCAATTATCTTATCACAAAATTGAGTCATGGTGTAACCCTCAGCAACTTCAACCTCTACTTGCTCTGCCACTTGGGCAGTGGCTATGTTACTTGCTTGAGGACCTGAAAATAGATTCCCATTTTTAAATTCTAAACAAACCCAAAATAACAAACAACATATTCTAACCATTACCATTGTTCAATTGCCTATGGGGGAAAATGAGAAGGGTAAACCAACAAATTAAAATGCTGATCTTGAGCTTTTTTTTGGGTTTTAAAAAACTTTAAAAACCCACCACAACCAGCTAAATTTAGTGGCAAATGTAAATAGAGGTTCTTACTCTCTCATTTCTTTCTTTCTTTCTTCTTCAACAACCAAAGTAAGCTCAGAAAAGAAAGATAGGCTAGGCAGTACTGAAAAAAAATGAACGAAGGTGATAAAGTACTTACTGGTTGTGGGGCTTGACTGGGCTGCCCTTGTCTTTCTTCTGTGCTTGGACTTAAGAGAGGCAAAGGATATGGGTGGTATTAGAAGGGTTGTTGTGGGCAGATTTTCGTTGAGTCGGAAGAAAGTTGTGGCGTCGAAGAAGATGGAGGGCTTGGTTATGGAGTTTGAGAGCTCTAATGCCATGAAATTGCTCATGGTGTTCCCTCGCTGCTGCGCGCTTTGGAGCAGAGAAGAAGTGGATGAGTGTAGCAGCAGTTACTGATAAGATTAAAGTGATAATTAGTGAGAGCTTGATACAGAGAGGCCGTGTTGAGTAGATACACAGAAACCACTTCGGCGTCGTTTCGACTCATTTATGCCACCAGCGTAATTTATAATTAAGGGTTAACGACAAAAAACACCCTGCAGGTTTGTGGGTTCTCAATATGGATCCAAGGTATCAATTTTATCAATTTACAACCTTACCTTCACAACATCGTCCAATTTCATCCTTCTGTTAAGTTGATTGTGTGGTCAATCGTTAAATGCTGACGTGTCTACTGTGGGACCTATCTAATAACCCAAAAAATTTATATAAAATAATAAAATAACATAAATTTAAAAAAGAGTGGTAATTTCCTCACTCCCTTTTCTCTTATTTTATCAACTTACACTCCTTTTTTATAACTAAAAAAGGAGTGTAAGTGGATAAAATAGGAATTGGGAAATCATTGCCCTTAAAAAAAAATCAACTTAAAAAATCTCAGCCCTTCTAGCTCCGTATCGTCATCCACACCCTCATCTTCCTCTAATTCCTTCCTTTTTCTATTTTCTACTCGTGTTGGTTCTTCTGCAAGGCCTCAAAATCACCAACATAATTATACCCAGTAGAGGCTGATGTCGCCCGCATAGCCATACTTGTGAAAAGTATTGTACTGCTCATCGAAGACGAAAGGTTCAATAGAGGCGTCCTTAACGAAGTCGAGCTTGTGGTTGCGCATGCCCTGGGCGATGCCGTCCTTGGTGTAGGGATAAGATGGGCCGTATATTGGGGCCCATAGTTGGTCATAGGTGGAGTTGAAGCCGACGATGTGTTGGGTTGGGTCAATTGGCTGACTCAAAGATCGTTGGCCAGCAACCACCTTCAGGGCCAGCATCGTGCCGTCGACATTGGGCACCGCGGACTTGGCGAGGAGGAGCCAAGGCGGTGAAGTGTATAGGGACGATGTTGTTGAACTAGAGTTTTGGTTTTGCTGCTCTGGCTCGTTCAATTCTTCGTCGTTTTGATCAGAATAGGCTCGGAGAAGATCCGTTCATATAAAAAAGGGATAACCCTAAACCCCCAAATTTGGTCCTTGTGTTGAAAATTTGAGACTTTATTCATGAATTCGAAAGGCAAGCACCAAAGGGTGTGGATGATGATATGGGTCCACAGTAGACACGTCTATTATTCAATTTTCATAAAAATTATAAAATTTCTTTCCAGTTTTAGATTTTTCAACAACAACTCTTTACTCCAACTTCTTAACCCATAAATTTATTCCAAATTCATGAACCGCCCCCGGATTTTTTTTATTGATTCCTGTCAAAAAGAAACAATTTGAGTAAAAGGTCTTCCTTTTTAATGAATCCGTTTTTATGTTATTTCGTACTGCACAATTCCTTTGTTTGTGGGATCATTTTCTCACGAAAGGGAATTAAAATTCAACATTTAAAGATTGACCACACTATCAACTTAACGGAATGATGAAATTGGACAATGTTACAAACGTAAGGGTGTAAATTGATAAAATTGATACTCTCGGGTCCATATTGAGAACCACCCCAAACGTCTTTTGTCGTTAGCCCTATAATTAAAAATCTATAGGAAATTTGCATAAATGCAACTTTCAATTTGTATTATTAACCACCTAAACTTTGCAAAGTGTATTAATTTACCTTTTATTATAATTCCGTAAAAAATTTCCGTTAAATAAAGTCACAATGTTGAACCTATGATATTTTTTAAAGCACATTTTCAGCTTTTACATGTTTTGATTGATCAACTAAATTTCTCCAGAAAAGCTTATGTGCATATCTTTGAGATAAGTCATCAAGTGTTCTATGTTTACTTGGTGATTTATCAAATACTTTCATATTGCATTCATTTGTATGTTCAGTGACTCATACGGTTAAGGGCACCAAGACCGTGGTGGTGGTTTTCTTCCGGCGAGCTTGAAACAATCGTGATCAGTATTGTGTTTAACATAAGGAATGTTGAAGATCATCCCGTGACAGAAGTTAAGTTATGAAGAAGTCGGTAAACATTATCTAGAATGTGTCTAGAATAAGTGCTTGTGTACTTCTTGTAATCATCGTTCTATAGTGGATTTTTGTTGGACTGAGAAGTCCCGTGGATTTTCCCCAGAGATGAGGTTTTACCACGTAAAATAATTATCTAAGTGTTCCTTTATTTTATGCTTAGTACGTTTCAGGATTGATAAGTCATATCAATCCTACTACTGAAGTTTATTTTTTGTTTATTAATTATAATCTTAAATTGCCCTATTCATCCCCTTCTAGGCATTCTTAGTCATCCTACAAGTAATTTCAGCACTCCTCTTTTTTTTTTTCTTTTTTTTTTTTTTTTAAAGTCTGAGAACTAAGCACTCTTGCACCGCACCTATTTGGTGGTTGGTACTGCGCCCGTCTTTGTACTACAAGCAAAGCACCTCTAATTTGTGTCGTGCACGGAAAAACAGGAGAAAGATATAGAGCAAGGTTAGCATGCACACGGACAATCTCACCTTATATAAAAAAAAAACAAAACAAAAAAAGTTGCATACGCATGGCGTGATGGGCATATTTTGCATGCGGTTTCTATTTGTCTGTTTCAAAATTGGAAATTAAGCTTCATTCTAGCAGCTATAACTCCCATGTCTTTTTAGGTCATTCCTTTTGCCTTTTTCATCACCTTGTAACAGAAGCGAGAAGAAAGCTGGCCCGCTGTTGTTGGGAAGTGAAATTACATAATTGTACATAGGGACTAAATTTGTATATATTATTATTATTTTTGATATTTAGGAATTATTTATGTTATCGGTTTCTGATATATACACACTGTACACCGTATGTTGCCCCAACCAGAATTTAGATTAAGGACTTGTGGTTGAAGATTGGCTACCTATAAATTAATCATTAGCTAAGAGATATACATAACATCTTGAGATGTTGAGATGTATGCTCACTTATTGTTATACCTAACCATTTCTTTAATTACTAATCACTCTGCAAAATGCTTTTTGCTTAATTTAATAATTTTTAGTCAACGGAGTATAGCTCAGTAGAAAAATATATTGACTTGCAAATCAGTAGTCTCATGTTTGAACCTTAATAGTGTGTGTACGTGAGCAATCATTTTTCCCTTATAGTTTAGACTATTGTTTTTTTTTTTTTAATACACTATCAAACACTTGTTGAATGACCCTTTCCATCTTTATAAGGTTTCTAAAAGTCCACAATAACCTAAGTTGGAAAAAAATGGAAGCTCGTGAGCTTGTTCTAAATTTCTACACTTCAATTAACATTTAAAGGATTAGAATAATATACAATCAATGTGATTTGTTATTTGCAAACTTGAGTATAGATCAGTTGAATAGGATAGTAGGTATGTCTCTCGTACTCAAATTCAAATCTCTTATCCCATAAAAATGATTTTTTTTTCCTTTTTGAATGTCACTTGTTTTTTTTTTTTTTCTGAATGATATTTAAACAACTTAATTTTATTGGAAAAAGTCCCATATTGAAGCCCTGTGCACGAGCTCATCACAGTCGTTTAATAAATAAAAAAAGTGGACTCTAAATGACCTTATGCATTAACTTGTTCATATGAGACGAATAATAATTAGGGAAATTTACCATTATACTCAATATAAGGGTTCAAATTATTAAAAATTTCTATATGAAATGAACTTTAGAAATATATCCAAAACTCATTTACAACATAATAAAGAGATTTTTAACTTCTTATAAATTACAAAACTGTCATCGATTTCTTAAAACAAATCCAACCTCAAAACCTCATTAAAAAAAAAAACTCAAAACATTCAATAAGGCATCAAAGTAATTTAATAATCAAAATTAAATTCAATAGGACCAGCTGTCATTTTTGAGATTTTTTTTTTAGTTTGTTTTTAAAAATTAAATAGTATAGGGTCTATATATATCATTAGTGTTAAGAATGAGTATATGACTAAATATCTCTAAGTAAAAGGGCAAATAGAGAAAATACTAGTCAGCTGGTAATTATCTGAAACATAAAGGGTATTTCTGTCTTTTAAAAATAACTTGTACTATGTATAGGACGATCCTCCGTGTACTATTCCAAATTCCTTACTATAAATATCTGATCGAAAATCTTAATTTTGTAGTAAATTGTAATAAGAAGAACAAAGCCGAAGAAGCTTAAAAGAAATCAGTCTTCAAATTGCGCGTAACAACTCTCCGGTGGAGAAAGTCAAATTTCCGGTGAACTGGTCAAACTTAGGCTTCCAATCCTTTCTGGTAATTCAAATTGGCAGTTGATGTTTTGAAGCTCTCTCTATTTATTTTCAAAGCTGTTTTTTTTATTGTTTGTTTGATTTCTCCTATCGGCGGTGATTTTCGTGTTAATTACTAAGTGAATAAACAAAAAATGGAAAATTGAGATTCTTGGCAAGCTTGTGTGCATGAATTTTATGCTTGCTCTTTACTGTGGTTATGCGTTGACTCTGTGTTATTTGCTTTTGAATTTCAAGAATCTTGAAGCTTTCTATTTCTATTAGATTGATGATGAGAAATGGAAACTACAATTATGAAGGTACTGAAATTTGGTGTTCCTTTTGTTAGAGAAACTGAGAGATGGAGAAGGAACAAGAGGTTGAGTGGATCAAAGCTCAGAACATTGGCATAAGCATAGACCTTGTGGCTGCAGCCCAAAAGCAGCTTCTGTTTCTTGCTGCTGTAGATAGAAATCGGTTTCTATATGAAGGGCCTGCTCTTGAAAGGGCAATCTATAGGTACACATCCTGTAGATTTGGTTCAGTTCTTCAGTTTTTGGGTGCATTAGATTCTTGTGCAGTACCAGTACCAGATCACATGTTTTGTTTTTCATTTTCAATATTTTAATATTGTTTTCTGGTTTCCCATTGTTTTCAATTCTGGTTGTTCTATTGTGGTGGAGTAAGGAGTATGTTTTTTTTTGTTTTTTTGTTTTTTTGGATAGCTAATCGGGTTTGTTTTATAGTCTCATAAAATGATAATCTATTTGTGTTTTCAATTGGATTTTCATTGTGGCATTTGATCTTTACACTTAATGTTCCAAAAATTCTATTTTCAGGTATAATGCTTGTTGGCTTCCGATGCTTGCCAAATATTCTGAGTTCCAAATTTCTGAAGGACCTTTGGTTGTACCTCTTGATTGTGAATGGATTTGGCATTGTCACAGACTAAATCCAGTAGGCTTCTCTGAACTGTTATAGTCCTGGTTATCTTGTTTGATGACTTGAATTGCTAAGCTTAGTGTCTTTGGTTTGTTATTCAGGTTCAATACAAGACTGACTGTGAGAAACTTTATGGAAAGATCCTTGACAATTCTAATGTGTTATCCTCGGTTCAAGGCTCTTGTAAAGGGCAAACTGAAGAAATTTGGAATAGTATGTATCCAGAAGAACCCTACAACTTAGACTTAAATAAGGCATTGTCAGAGGATATATCTGAACGGATTTCTGGACTTGAAAAATGCACCAAATATGATCTGATTGCAGCTGTTAAAAGACAGAGTCCTTTCTTTTACCAGGTAATATGAGATTGCAGCTAATACATTGGATAGAATACGTGTGTTGAGTTATCAAGTGTTAACAGTAATATGTCTTGGAATGAAGTGCTTATATGGTTCCATATTATCGGTATAAAAGGAACTATCATTTGGAGTACTTTTAGATTGGAACACATTCTTAGAGTCTTATTTGGTGTTGTGAGGCCATCGAAAGATTTCCTTATGGTAACTGGATGCAAGGAGAGTTTAGATAGTATGCTATTACCTGCATGCATTTCAAATTCAAGGGTCGAAAGAAGCATTGTGCAATTATCATACATTTTAAATTTAGTTGCATAATGTATTATATAGAGATTATCCTTCTTTCACATAACACCTGTAGCCACAAATAAACACACCAAGACCCACCCGAATGATTCTCCCCTCTAACTTTCCATTGTTCTTTTTTCTGTTTCTTTGCTTCTTCTGGCTTACCTGCCTTTTTGTGTTTTTGACAGGTATCCAGACCCCATATGAACCATGATGTATTTCTTCAAGGGGCTGTGGCTAGGTATAAAGGGTTTCTTCATCTAATCAAGAGAAACAGAGAGAAGTCTCTAAAACGTTTTTGTGTTCCCACATACGACGTTGACCTTATCTGGCATTCTCACCAATTGCATCCTGTATCTTATTGTAAAGACCTGAATGAACTACTTGGCAAGGTATTGGAGCATGATGACATGGACTCTGACAGAACTAAAGGGAAGAAACTTGATGTTGGGTTTTCTGGAACTACCAAGCAATGGGAAGAGGCCTTTGGTACAAGGTATTGGAAGGCAGGGGCCATGCATAGAGGCAATGCTCCATGTCCTGTCACAACCACACCTTACAAATCTAGCATGATGAGCAAGGATGTAGTTGCATCCACCGAGTATCAGAAAGTACTTCAGCTTCCAGAGGTTAAATTTGTGGAGGTAGATTTCTTTACCTTGCATGCTTTCTTTTTCCCTTTTATATTCCTTGTAATCAGGAAATACTATAGAAATGACATGAAGAGATGCCTTGAATTTAAACATGGAACTTAGTCTACAGCTTCCTCTTACTTGTGGATTCTCACTTTAGAAGTTGACTTCATGAAAAGCACATGAGGACTCCTGATCAGTGCGCTTGTAGAATGTTCCTTTAAGAATATGGATTTAGAAATGTTTCATCATTTCATTGGTCGAAACCATAATTTACATGTAAAGATTGAATACTTCGCCTCCAGTGAAAATTGAGAACCGAGATTAGTACTTTGAGCAAAATTTGGGCATGCTTTTGAATTGAATATGTTGATATATAAATGAGCACCGTAGCTGGCTTTCATTTCTGTTATATGTTTATACTTTTGAGGCAATGCTCATATAAGTGAGTACCTTTTTTTCTTTCAGATGTTAAATAAGGACACAGGCTGCCTCCTACCTGAGCCAATTATACTGTAATTATTTTTCCTAAGCTGTTTCCCTATTCGTTTTCCAGGTCCTTTTGCAGTTTGTTGAAGTTAGGAACTTACCAGAGGGACACAAAGGAAGTCTCTTTGTCTCATTTAGTAAGACCCAACATGATCTATTCTTTCACGCTAAGCGGAGACTGAGTATTTTGTCCCAGTCTGGAGAGAAACAGGTTGCTTGTTTCCAGTGTGAACCTACTGGAGAGCTGCTTTTTGAACTGATATCCCATTCACCTTCACACTTACCGATGAAAAAGACATATAAAACATTGGGTTCTACTTCATTCTCTCTTCAAGACTTCCTGATCCCACTCTCTAAATTAGATGCAGAAAAATGGTTGGAGGTGGTGCCAACTTCTGGAAATGAGAACTCGAAACCAATCTACCTTCGGATTGCTGTGTCATTTACTGTTCCAGCCTTAGCACAACATGCACTCCACATGGTTCGTTCTCGGCCATTGTCCAAAAATTCTTGCTTCCTGCCCTTTCTTGGGAAGGATCAAGATGCTAAGAATTTCACACATGTGATTGATGAAACTGGCACAAAGCTTATCAGTCTGCAAATGAGGTATACCTGTTGTTGTGTGCATGCATTAATGTGACGAATTTCACGCATGTGGTTCCCTCTCTCTCTCTCTCTCTCTCTCTCTCTCTCTCTCTCTCTCCACTGGAATGGAAACTTATACATATGTAGTATGAAAGTATGTTCAGAATGATAATTGCTTCTCATGCAACTTGTGAATGTTTTTGCGTTTTATGATGTATTCTGAAGCTCTGACCTTTACTTTGTGCCGGCTTGGATGGATTCTATTTACAGGCATCCTGAAAAGGAAAATCCAAGGGCAAACACCGTTCTAAAGAAAGAGGTGATTGGAATTACCAAGTCTGGAAAAATATCTACTCTTGCAGAGTCTGTAGGGACTGGATGGTCTTTGATGGATTCTCACTGGTTCCTTCACCCTAAAAAAAATCCCAATGGAGATGGCCACCTCTTTGTTCTCCAGGGAAAAAATATGGTATGCATTCATGATCAATGCGCTTATGTATTTCCAAGTCACATTGTAATTGTAGAGCTTTTTAGTTTATTTTGGTGCCGTCATACACATACATGGATGGGCTTTTCAACAGATATAACGTTCTCTTGGTCATTGTTATTACCCACTAGCATGCCCAGTAATGTTTTGGAGATATTGAAGTTCTCGGTATGAAGATAAATTGCTGAGATGGAATACTAGATTATGTCTCCTAATTATCTCTTGGTACAGGTCAAATTATTCCGCGGAAGAAAGCTGGACTATGAATCTAAACATTGTGAGAAACATAAAAGTGAACAAGAGTTCATGACCTTGGTTGAATTCTCTGCTGAAGATCCTTACGGCAAAGCAGTGGCATTGCTCGACTTAAAATCCGGATTTGTCCAGGTACTGTATGATCAGTTCCCTTATTTATTTATTTATTTATTGTCAGATCACTTCCCTTTGATTTGTCACAGTTAATTAAACACTTAACTTATTTTACTTCAAAATTGAACAGGTAAAGGAAGAATCGATGCTAGTTCCTGGGATCACGTTGGCTTTCATATTTTGCGATATGCTAAAGAAGGAAGGATATGATGGCTTTTCTTTTAATGCGAAGGAGATAGGTAGTGTAGCTGAAGAAATTAATGAGAATCATGAGGAAGGCAAAACAACCAACTTGACCTCTTCAGGAGTGACCGAAGGAGGGCTGAATAATGAGGTGGCTGAAGATGTAGTGATGCCGAAAAAAGGTGGAGGCTGTGGTGCAGGATGTGGCAGTGGGTGCGGAAATGCAATAAGGAGTGCCTCTGCTGGATGTGGCAGTGGTTGTGGTGGAGGATGTGGAAGCTCGGTGAAGAGTGGCGGCTGTGGAGGGTGTGGTGGAGGTGGTGGTTGTGGTGGCGGATGTGGAAGCATGCTGAAGAGTGGTGGCTGTGGTGGCTGCGGTGGTAGTGGTGGATGCGGTGGTTGTGGTGGTGGGTGTGGAA